TCATCGTGTTTTCATTGTCATTTGTCTCTAGGTATTTTTTGATTTCCTCTTTGATTTCTTCAGTGATCTCTTGGTTATTAAGTAACGTATTGTTTATCCTCCATGTGTTTGTGTTTTTTACATTTTTTCCCCTTTAATTAATTTCTAATATCATAGCATTGTGGTCAGAAAAGATGTTTGATATGATTTCAATTTTCTTAAATTTACTGAGGTTTGATTTGTGACCCAAGATGTGATCTATCCTGTAGAATGTCCCGTGCACACTTGAGAAGAATCTGCTGTTTTTGGATGGAATGTCCTATAAATATCAATTAAATCTATCTGGTCTATTTTGTCTTTTAAAGCTTGTGTTTCCTTTTTACTTTTCTGTCTGGATGATCTGTCCATTGGTGTAAGTGAGGTTTTAAAGTCCCCCACTATTATTGTGTTACTGTCAATTTCCTCTTTTATAGCTGTTAGCAGTTGCCTTATGTATTGAGGTGCTCCTATGGTGGGTGCGTATATATTTATAATTGTTTTATCTTCTTCTTGGATTGATCCCTTGATCATTATGCAGTGTTCTTCCTTGTCTCTTGTAACATTCTTTATTTTAAAGTCTATTTTATCTTATATGAGTATTGCTACTCCAGCTTTCTTTTGATTTCCATTTTCATGGAATATCTTTTTCCATCCCCTCACTTTCAGTCTGTATGTGTCCCTAGGTCTGAAGTGGATCTCTTGTAGACAGCATATATATGGGTCTTCTTTTTATATCCATTCAGTGAGCCTGTGTCTTTTGGTTGGAGCATTTAATCCATTCATGTTTAAGGTAATTATCGATATGTATGTTCCTATGACTATTTTCTTAATTGTTTTGGGTTTGTTTTTGTAGGTCCTTTTCTTCTCTTGTGTTTCCCACTTAGAGAAGTTCCTTTAGCATTTGTTGTAGAGCTGGTTTGGTGATGCTGAATTCTCTTAGCTTTTGCTTGTCTGTAAAACTTCTGATTTCTCCATTGAAAATGAATGAGATCCTTGCCGGGTAGAGTAATCTTGGTTGTAGGTCCTTCCCTTTCATCATTTTAAATATGTCATGTCACTCCCTTCTGGCTTGTAGAGTTTCTGCTGAGAAATCAGCTGTTAGCCTTATGGGAGTTTCCTTGTATGTTATTTGTCATTGTTCCCTTGCTGCTTTCAATAATTTTTCTTTGTCTTTAATTTTTACCAGTTTGATTACTATGTGTTTCTGCATGTTTCTCCTTGGGTTTAACCTGTATGGGACTCTCTGCGCTTCCTGGACTTGGGTGGCTATTTCCTTTCCCATGTTAGGGAAGTTTTCGACTATAATCTCTTCTAATATTTTCTCAGGTCCTTTTTCTCTCTCTTCTGCTTCTGGGACCCCTATAATGCAAATGTTGTTGCATTTAATGTTGTCCCAGAGGTCTCTTAGGCTGTTTTCATTTCATTTCATTCTTTTTTCTTTATTCTGTTCCACAGCAGTGAATTCCACCATTCTGTCTTCCAGGTCACTTATCCGTTCTTCTGTCTCAGTTATTCTGCTATTGATTCCTTCTAGTGTATTTTTCATTTTAGTTATTGTATTGTTGTTTTGTTCACCTCTGTTTGTTTGTTCTTTAATTCTTCTAGGTCTTTGTTAAACATTTCTTGCATCTACTCGATCTTTGCCTCCATTGATTTTCTGAGGCCCTGGATCATCTTCACTATCATTATTCTGAATTGTTTTTCTGGAAGATTGCCTATCTCCACTTCATTTAGTTGTCTTTATGGGGTTTTATCTTGTCCCTTCATCTGGTACATAGCCCTCTGCCTTTTCATCTTGTCTATCTTTCTGTGAATGTGGTTTTCTTCCACAGGCTGCAGGATTGTAGTTCTTGCTTCTGCTGTCTGCCCTCTGGTGGATGAGGTTATCTAAGAGCCTTGTGCAAGTTTGTGTTGAGGTTTTTTAGAGGGGTAATTAGGAAATATCTATCAAAATTTAGACTAAGAAGTAAACTGAAAATCAATGTGCCTTCTTTTAGCCTTTTTTTTTTTACATTTTAGAAATATGTATATATATATACATTTCAAACTGATCACCACAATAAGTCTAGTTAAAATATGTCACCATACAAAGATATTGCATAGTTATTGACTGTATTCCCCACACTGTACACTTCATAACCATGACTTATTTATTTTGCAACTGGAAGTTTGTATGTCTTAAGCTCCCTCACCTATTTTTTTCCTCCCCCACCACCTACCCCTCTGGCCCATTTGTTCTCTGTATCTATAACTCTGTCTCTGTTTTGTTATGTTTGTTCATTTGTTCTGTTTTGTTCTGTTTTGTCTTTAGATTGCACATATAAGTGAAACCATATAGTATTTTTCTTCCTCTTTCTGACTTATTAGCATAATACCTTCTAGGTCTATCAATGTTGTCACAAGTAACAAGATTTCATTCTTTTTTATGGCTGAGGGCTGAGTACTGTTCCATTGTGTGTGTACATATATCACATCTTCTTTATACATTCATCTATTGATGGGCACTTAGGCTGCTTCCATACCTTGGCTATTGTAAATATATTATTTGTCAAGTGACTTATTTGCTACACATTCAATTACCCAAGTTCAACTCAATTCACTTAAAATCAATACAGCATTATTGGGGATTTTTTTCCCATAGGTTTTATTTTATTGGGCCTCTACCAGAGCCATTTACTTGCATTTTTGTAAACACTGCTCATTTGAATGTCACTTTTATGTGTGCTTCACATTTCAACTGCTGAATATTTCTTTAACTTAATCTTTTATTTGAGAATGGGCAGGCTTTTCCTTTATTACAGTTTACTATCTTGTAGTTTTTTTAAGGATAGGTTCCCTGCTTTCATTCCCACATTCATCTCTACACTTACCTCTACCAATGGCCACTGAACAGCTTTGGCAAATGTCCTAGATCTGGTTTAAGAGAATTGACTGACAAATTCCCACAAATTAACATTTTGCAATTTTCTGAGGTCACCACAGGCTGTTGGTTGCTGGAAAAGAATAGAAGTCTCCTAACTCAGGCTACTAACACAGCTACCACCACCATCACCCCACTTCCAATAAAGAAAAGTGATAAAAAATTCATAGTCCCTCAAGTTTAATCAAATATTATATGTTGCAGGAATATGGTAAGTCTTCTCAGGAATTTGAAGCATATCCAATTCATAATGAGATGGAAATCTTTAAAAGTATTCCCATGCAAGTGTCTTGAATCTCAAACCTATTAAAACATAATCATTTCACAGTAACATTTGATATAGAAAGGAGGCAAGGAATACAACTAATAAAAAGGGATATCATTACTCTAACTATGTAAATTCCTGCCTGGTTCAAAACTATTCTCGATTAGGAGTAAAACTAGCTTTTAAAATACAGAATGTATTTAGAAAGCCAGAGTTTTTGACTTTTAGACTTGGAAGAACATTACCAATTGGAGAAAACTACAAATGGCTTCTGAATGCAGTTATTTATTACCAGCCATGCTCACTGAAGCCTTAAAGGATATCATTTTGTCACTCTTATTTTGCTGCTATTAATATCTTACTTTGAAAAATACTTTCATTCAGATTGTGGATTCCTGTTGGGTGTGTTTCCCACCTTTTCCTTTTGCTTGTCATTTGGAATTAGGAGTGAATATTAAAAGGTAAAGAGGAAAGCAAATGGCCAGCGAAACTAGGAGAAATGCTTGAGAGTTGTTTGTTGTTTTCTTAAGAAATAAAATACCTAGCTATTTATTTATAACATGCTAATCAAATAAACATAACCCATTCTTCTCTTCATGTCTTCCAACTGAAATTAAGAACCAATGGATGATAGTGATCTTATTAGCTGTACTATACTAGATTGAGTTAGCCAGGTTTTAAGAGAATTAGCACATTTCCCTACACACCAGGAAACAGATATTTCCTTTCTGTTGTGTTTTGGGGGTCCCTCTTCAAGGTCATCTAGATACAAGCCAGACTCTGCATAATAGAAAGCCTTTTGAATGGAGGCAGTTGTGGATTAGACTGTACAGTCATGAAGTCGGGTGGTTTTATCATTATTCTCAGGAGAACTTGCTCTGCACAAGCATGAATGGACTATTCTCTTAATGGAAAAGACTGCCTCTATCTTCATTGTAGACATCAGAGTCGGGGCAAAATGTAAGAAGCGTTTTCTTTCTGGGACATTAGCCACTTGTGTTTCCTCTGCTCATGCTTGTATGAGATAGAACCCAGAGCTATAAGGAGCATGAAAACCCCTGCACTTCAGGATCCTCGCCTGTTTGCAAGTGAGAAGAATGGGAACAAAGAAAAAGAGGCAAAATGCTTCTTCAAATTCTTTAGCTTTCATCCTTCTATTTTATCAGTCCCTACAGTATTAGGATTTATAATGTCCAGGTGATAGACTAATTTGTAACTGGGTAGAATACGTTCCTGATCAATGGATGTAAAGGAATGTTGCTTTTATTTCCCCTTTAGTAAAAGTGGCTTGAAAATATTAACAAAGAAAAAGAGCATTGTGGCTTCACTTCTCTGTGTGAACTCCCCACGTACGTGGCAGTTCCTTTCTCTCAACCGGTCCTTAACATAACTGGGATCTGAACTTCCCATCCTGACTCCAGGACACTTCAGGCCATTTAAAGTCCAAAAAGAGACCCCCAGGTTTTTAAATAAGAAAGTAATCTACTCAGCTGGGCATGGGTGGGATGAGATGGCCTATGTCACTTTCAGGAGATGTAGAAAAAGAATACACGGAAGGAAAGAGTGCTATACATTTAGAATCTACTAGTAATTAGTCTAGTGATCACTGGTTAGGAAGCCTTGGCGAGTCACTTACTTTCTTTGTGAAAAGGATTTCTGGTCATGAATGAGGATGGTAATGATATCTCTCTAAGAGTGTATGGTGAGGTGCGATGCCCTGCGTAACCGTAGTTCTCACTTTGAAGTCTGGACGTTGAGCAGACGAGAAGAACCCACTTCTTGGCTCTTGTTTTTCAGATCACTATGTGCAGATGCTGGTTTGTCAGCATGAATGCGTGAGGGAACTTGCCACCCGCCCTGGCCGCCTCTCACCAATCGAGAACTTTCTTCCCCTACATTATGACTACCTGCAGTTTGCCTACTATCGAGGTAAAGCGTGGATTATCTGTGAAAAACTTTGGGGGGAAGGGGTGTGGCTCATCACAAGAGACATCGAATTTTTGTGGGTTAGTCCTCCACCTTCCTCAGTTGTAATCAAGCTATGGGTGTGTATGCATTTTCTGTCTCACCTCACATCACTACAGCTCAGAACAAGAGCAGACGGTGAAACCACAAGGGGGCAAATGTTATGACAATGCCCTGAAAGTTATACTAGATTGATATTTTATGTGATTTTTAAATTTAATTTTTCGACTTAATTTGAAAAGATAATATACTCACAGGTTTAAAGACTAAATATTTAAAAACCTCTCTCTCTTTCTTTTCCCCACAACCCAATTTCACGCCCTAAAATCCACAGTTTCTTAGTTACCCTTCCAAAATTTTATACAGAAACAACACACACACACACACACACACACACACACACACACACACACACACTGTCTCTGAATTATTTTATCCTCCTACACATAGAAGATAGCACATTATTTACACTCTTCCTCACATTGTTTTCTTCACTTAACAATACATATCAGATTTTTTTTAGTATGTTGGACCTATGAAATTCCCTTTTGCTTGGTCAAAAATGATCAAATTTGGGAAGTTTTATAGGGTTCAATCTAGTTGTTTCAGTACATACAGATCTTCCTCATTCATTTTTCTTTATATCTAGATATCAACATACTATAATTTATTTAATGTGTCTCCTTACTGATGAGCATTGTGTTGTTTGTAATATTTTACTATTACAATCAATGATCAAATGAATATTTCCTGTATGTCATTTACATTTGCATGTAAATATCTATAGGATAAATTTCTAGAAGTACAGTTGCTGCATCAATGGTTTATTTGTTTGTAATTTTGACAGATGTTGCCAATTTGTTCTCCACATGGAGTACACTTTTCATTGCACAGCAACAGAATATATTATCAAATTTTAAATATTTCCAAATCATTACGTGAAAATTGATATCTCAATAAAGTTTTAATTTCCATTTATCTCATTGAGAAAGAAAGAGTGAGCATCTTATGTTTAAAAGCAATTAATAGAATTTGTATTGCTGAAATTGGTCTTAGATATCATGTTTTCAAATTCAGTACAAAAATCAGAATTAACTTCAAAAATTCTACTCTGTATTAAATAATGTAAGTTGCCAGCAAATATCTTCAGGTGGAGCTTTTGATAATTTGTTGAAGACATCTAGCAGCATAGCAGACCGAAGTTAGTACCTTTGGAATACCTGAAATCCTGTCCTTCCTTTCATCTGCAACTATTTCTGCTGCTTCTGCTCAGCCTCACGGCATCTTCCCTCTTTTCTTTTAATTTTTATTTTATATTGTAGTACAGTTGATTGACAATATTGTGTTAGTTTCAGGTGTAAAGCAAAGTGATTCAGTTATACATATACATATATCCATTCTTTTTCAGGTTCTTTCCCCATATTGGTTATTACAGAGTATTGAGTAGGGTTCCCTGTGCTATACAGTAGGTAGCATCTTCCCTCTTACTGATCATTTCATGCTGACTCTCATGGACATGTTGACATATCTTTAAAAAATTTTGTAGACCAACCTAGGCTGACTCTAATGCCGCAACTCCTGGATTTTTCAGTTGGCGAATATGTGAAAGCCTTGGAGTGTGCCAAGGCCTATCTTCTACTCCATCCGGATGACGAGGATGTCAGAGACAACGTGGATTACTATGAGAGTCTGTTGGATGACAGCATTGACCCAGCATCTATCCAGGCCAGAGAGGTGAGACCCATGTTCTGAGAAGAAACTCATTATTCTGCTCAGTGCTCTGGGGAGAGTTGGTAAAAATATAACACTTCTCTTAAAGATAGCTAACAATTTAGTAAAGGTTCTAGGACTCAGTTCTTTGCAACTTTAATTAGTAATGCTAAAAGCGTGTTTTTCGCCTATGTGCTAGCTTGTGAAAATCTACAGAGATAGAGACATTTTCTGCAGCTGTGAATATTTTTTTAGCTCATTTGTTACTGTCTAAAGAAAATTATTTCCACTTGAACATTAATCATACCTTTTAACTGTTATTTAAATATACATTTTTTTTTTTTTTTTTTTCTGTAGGATTTGGCGATGTTTGTGAAGCATCATAAACTGGAATCAGAACTAATAAAATCAGCTGCAGAGGGTCTGGGATTTTCATACACTGAGCCGGTAAGAACAAAGAGGAGAGAGGAAAAGGTCTTTAAAGGAACTATTCGGTGGACTTCTTATTTATGATTGTATTCCCCAGCCCCTTTTGTTGAAGATTATAATCCCCTGCCTTTTGTAAACAAACACTGGAGGGAGCGGGTGTTTACCCTGTACATGTGATGAACTGTAAAAGACTTTAACAGATTTCCATGTCACTGAGAGCTAAAGTCAGAAGCAAATATACTTGGATAGGAAAGAAATGTTTTGAATATGATATGTTTGCCTCAGGATTGTTTTATTTTCTAATTTCTGTATACAACATTTTGTATTTTCTTTTAAACATTTCTCTTAAACATTTTAAACAATAAAAAGACTTCAAAAGAACAGAATCAGTCACAATCGTACTACCTATCATGCTGACTACTTTTTTCCACGTGTCCATGTTGTCTTGTTTTTTCTTATTTTGGGGGGCTGCGTTGGATCTTGCTCTGCACAGGCTTTCTGGCTTTCCCTAGTTGTGGCGAGCGGGGGCTATTCTTTGTTGCGGTGCATGTGCTTCTCATTGAGGTGGCTTCTCTTGTTGTGGAACATGGGCTCTAGGCACGCAGGCTTCAGTAGTTACAGCACACAGGCTCAGTTGTTGCGACACACGAGCCCTAGAGCATGTGGGTTTCAGTAACTGCAGAGCGTGAGCTCAGTAGTTGTGGCATGTGGGCTCAGTAGTTTTGACTCATGGGCTCTAGAGTGCAGTCTCAGTAGTTGTGGCACATGGGCTTAGGTGCTCTGCAGCATGTGGGATCTTCCTGGCCCAAGGATCGAACCCATGTCCCCTGCACTGGCAGGTGGATTCTTTTTTTTTTTTTTTAACACCTTTATTGGAGTATAATTGCTTTACAATGGTGTGTTAGTTTCTGCTGTATAACAAAGTGAATCAGCTATACATATACATATATCCCCACATCTCCTCCCTCTTGTGTCTCCCTCCTACACTCCCTATCCCACCCCTCTAGGTGGACACAAAGCACCGAACTGATCCCCCTGTTCTATGTGGCTGCTTCCCACAAGCTATCCATTTTACATTTGGTAGTGTATATATGTCCATGCCACTCTCTCACTTCGTCCCAGCTTACCCTTCCCCTCCTCATATCCTCAAGTCCACTCTCTACATCTGTGTCTTTATTCCTCTCCTGCCCCTAGGTTCTTCAGAACCAATTTTTTTTTTTTTTAGATTCCATATATATGTGTTAGCATATGGTATTTGTTTTTCTCTTTCTGACTTACTTCACTCTGTAGGACACACAGACTCTAAGTCCATCCACCTCACTACAAATAACTCAGGTTTGTTTCTTTTTATGGTTGAGTAATATTCCAGTATATATTTGCGCCACATCTTCTTTATCCATTCACCTGTCAATGGACACTTAGGTTGCTTCCATGTCCTGGCTATTGTAAATAGTGCTGCAATGAACATTGTGGTACATGTCTCTTTTTGAATTATGGTTTTCTCAGGGTATATGCCCAGTAATGAGATTGCTGGGTCATATGGTAGTACTATTTTTAGTTTTTTAAGGAACCTCCATACTGTTCCCCATAGTGGCTCTATCAATTTAATTCAAACCAACAGTGCAAGAGGGTTCCCTTTTCTCCGCACTCTGTCCAGCATTTATTGCTTGTAGACTTTTGATGATGGCCATTCTGACTGGTGTGAGGTGATACCTCATTGGAGTTTTGATTTGCATTTCTCTAATGATTAGTGATGTTTAGCACCCTTTCATGTGTTTGTTGGCAATCTATATCTTCTTTGGAGAAATGTCTATTTAGGTCTTCTGCCCATTTTTGGATTGGGTTCTTTGTTTTTATGATATTGAGCTGCTTGAGCGGCTTGTATATTTGGGAGATTAATCATTTGTCAGTTGCTTCATTTGCAAATATTTTCTCCCATTCTGAGGGTTGTGTTTTCATCTTGTTTATGGTTTCCTTTGCTGTGCAAAAGCTTTGAACTTTCATTAGGTCCCATTTGTTTATTTTTGTTTTTATTTCCATTTCTCTAGGAGGTGGGTCAAAAAGGATCTTGCTGTGATTGATATCATAGAGTGTTCTGCCTATGTTTTCCTCTAAGAGTTTGATAGTGTCTGGCCTTACATTTAGGTCTTTAATCCATTTTGAGTTTATTATCATGTATGGTGTTAGGGAGTGTTCTAATTTCATTCTTTTACATGTAGCTGTCCAGTTTTCCCAGCACCACTTATTGAAGAGGCTGTCTTTTTCCATTTTATATTCTTGCCTCCTTTATCAAAGATAAGGTGACCATATGTGTGTGGGTTTATCTCTGGGCTTTCTATCCTGTTCCATTCATCTATATATCTGTTTTTGTGCCAGTACCATACTGTCTTGATTACTGTAGCTTTGTAGTATATATAGTCTGAAGTCAGGAAGCCTGATTCCTCCAGCTCCATTTTTCTTTCTCAAGTTTGCTTTGGCTATTCAGGATCTTTTTTGTTTCCATACAAATTGTGAAATTTTTTGTTCTAGTTCTGTGAAAAATGCCAGTGGTAGTTTGATAGGGATTGCATTGAATCTGTAGATTGCTTTGGGTAGTAGAGTCATTTTCACAATGTTGATTCTTCCAATCCAAGAACATGGTATATCTCTCCATCTGTTTGTATCATCTTTAATTTCTTTCATCAGTGTCTTGTAGCTTTCTGCATACAGGTCTTTTATCTCCTAAGGTAGGTTTATTCCTAGGTATTTTATTCTTTTTGTTGCAATGGTAAGTCGGGGTGTTTCCTTAATTTCTCTTTCAGATTTTTCATCCTTAGTGTAGAGGAATGCAAGAGATTTCTGTGCATTAATTTTGTATCCTGCTACTTTACCAAATTCATTGTTTAGCTCTAGTAGTTTTCTGGTAGCATCTTTAGGATTCTCTATGTATAGTATCATGTCATCTGCAAACAGTCACAGTTTTACTTCTGCTTTTCCTATTTGGATTCCTTTTATTTCTTTTTCTTCTCTGATTGCTGTGGCTGAAACTTCCAAAACTATGTTGAATAATAGTGGTGAGAGTGGGCAACCTTTTCTTGTTCCTGATCTTAGTGGAAATGGTTTCATTTTTCACCATTGAGAGCAATGTTGGCTGTGAGTTTGTCATATATGGCCTTTATTATGTTGAGGTAAGTTCCCACTATGCCTACTTTCTGGAGGGTTTTTATCATAAATGGGTGCTGAATTTTGTCAAAAGCTTTTTCTGCATCTATTGTGATTATCATACGGTTTTTATCTTTCAATTTGTTAATATGGTGTATCACATTGATTGATTTATGTATACTGAAGAATCCTTGCATTCCTGGGATTAACCCCCCTTGATCATGGTGTATGATCCTTTTAATGTGCTGTTGGATTCTATTTGCTAGTATTTTGTTGAGGATTTTTTGCATCTATGTTCATCAGTGATATTGGCCTGTAGTTTTTCTTTTTTTGTGACATCTTTGTCTGGTTTTGGTATCAGGGTGATGGTGGCCTCGTAGAATGAGTTTGGGAGTGTTCCTCCCTCTGCTGTATTTTGGAAGAGTTTGAGAAGGATAGGTGTTAGCTCTTCTCTAAATGTTTGATAGAATTTTCCTTTGAAGCCATCTGGTCCTGGGGTTTTGTTTGTTAGAAGATTTTTAATCACAGTTTCAATTTCAGTGCTTGTGATTGGTCTGTTTATCTTTTCTATTTCTTCCTGGTTCAGTCTCAGAACATTGTGCTTTTCTAAGAATATGTACATTTCTTCCAGGTTGTCCATTTTATTGGTATATAGTTGCTTGTAGTAATTTCTCATGATCCTTTGTATTTGTTCAGTGTCAGTTGTTACTTCTCCTTTTTCATTTCTAATTCTGTTGATTTGAGTCTTCTCCCTTTTTTTCTTGATGAGTCTGGCTAATGGTTTATCAATTTTGTTTATCTTCTCAAAGAACCAGATTTTAGTTGGCAGGTGGATTCTTAACCACTGTGTCACCAGGGAAGTCCCCCATGTTGTCTTTTAAACATTCTTCACATGAAGACATCACTTTTGTAGAAGCAGTACCTCTATATATATAGATTTCTATTTTTATTTATTGATTTTTATTTGGGATAGCATAAGCAATTTCTTTATCTTTACAGCTTTCAAAATTATTTTTAGCTACATCTGTAGTTGATGTACAATAAATAAGTTAATCCTCTTCCTGATGTTGAACAATTTGTTTATTTATTTTTTGTTTTTTTGTGCCCTAATGAATGCATTAAGCATTTTTCTTTCTACTGAACTATATCCATAGGATAAATTTCCAGAAGTGGGTTAACTCTGCCATCAAAGGATATGAGAAGGTTTAAAATTTTTGAAATTTTTTTTCTAGGAGAGTTTTCTGGTACCTTCATTATTCCTAACATTTCATAAAAGTTTATGGTTTTACCATGAACTTCTCAGCAATGAGAAATAACATCTTAAACTCATTCATATGCCTAATATATTATGTACAAAATGGTGCACCACTGTTGTTTTAATTTGTATTCCTTTGATTACCAGCAAAAATCAACTTTTCACAAATTATTATTATTTGTCCTCTCATTTGATTTACCTGGACATGTATTTTATTCATTTATCTGTTCATTGCTATATAAGTTCTTTATATACTGTACATGTTAATAGTTAATATAAAAAGCACTGTTTGTAATATATCCTATTTGTAACACAGTTTTCGTCTCTTTCTTAGTTATGTTATGTTTTTATTGACACATTTTTAAAATTAGGATAATTTTAATGTACGTTTCTAGTGTAACATTTCTAATATGTTTATATCCGGTCTTACTATTTTTGAAAGTTATGTTATCCCAAATGACCCTAGGAAAAACAATCACTTACTTTATGATCCTATACAGATGATTAACCAGACTGGACTTTTTGTTTATTTGCTTTATTTATAAAAGTGAAAGGAGTCATACTTAATTATCTTCTAAGTGTCTTCTTGCTACCAAATTCTAAATCACTTTCTTGGACAAAAGGATGGATGCCCAGGCTAATTCCATGCTATTTTTTTAATCCATTTTGTCTTAGCCCAAATTGCACCAACCTTAGCCTTCCTTTTTATTAAAATTTAAAAATAAATACTATATTATAGATTTATATAATATGCAAGTTTTCTAATATTTTAGGTCTTTTGAGTGTTTTATCTTCTGTACATGGAATTTTAGTGACAAAACTACTGAGTTTTTTTTTTTTTTAATTTAAAACAGAATTATTGGATTCAATATGGAGGACGACAGGATGAGAATCAGTAAGTTCTCCATTTAGAATGTTTATTTGTAATGAGAAGAAATACTTAGAATCATATTTATTGTAAAGAACTTGGGCTCTATGAAATAGGCAAAGGGATATAATTAGAAGAGCTCTGAACTGGGAATTAGGAGTTCTGCATTCTGGTCCCAACTCTTCCTCTTATTTCCAAGACACCTTAAATAATTTATCTTCCTCTCTGGGTCTCATGCTTTTCCTCACATCAAGGGGTTGAATCAGGTGATCTCTAATGGCTAAATGTTCTGTGACTCTAAATCAGAGAAAGTTGGATGCTGTTTTTGATTTTTTAATAGGAAAAAAACAATTAAATTATCTTTTTCATGCTAAATTTTCTTACTGCATTTATTTGAAAGCATCAAGCTCGGAAAGTTTTACAGCAAGCTAAAATATTAAGTGTCATGAACTCAATCAGAAATGAAGAAAATGCAATTTTTAAAATGATAGATGTCAAAAGTCAGTTTACATGTTCTGAGCATTTCAAGGAGTCATAGAATTTTGGAGTCACACGTTTGAGATTGTCCACTGAAAAAAATATGCACTCTAAAATTGAGAGTTATGGTTTTTTTTGTGTGTGTGTGGTACGCGGGCCTCTCACTGTTGTGGTCTCTCCCGTTGCGGAGCACAGGCTCCAGACGCACAGGCTCAGCGGCCATGGCTCACGGGCTTAGCTGCTCCGCTGCATGTGGGATCTTCCCGGACCGGGTCACAAACCCGTGTCCCCTGCATCGGCAGGCAGACTCTCAACCACTGCGCCACCAGGGAAGCCCAGGAGTTATGCTTTATTCAGTGGATTTTCTGAGGACTTCAAGCCCAGGAGACAGCCTCTCAGATGGCTCTGAGGGACTGCTCCCAAGAGTTAAGGGAGGAGCCAGGATGTATATGAGTTTTGTAACAAAAAGCGGACAGTCAGAATAGCAAAAGATTACTGTTAATTAAAGAAAACAAGACATCCCTAGTTAATTTAGGGTTTACGCTTTTCTATGTATGGGAAGATTTCAAGAGCCTGGGCTCATTGAAATCATTCCTTTGATATGCACCTCAGCTCTCTGGGGCCAGTGTCCTGTGTTTTCCCATCCTGAGTCCCCTCAGGGTGCACCGTTGCGGGGAGGCTGCGGTGCCTGACTGCTTGATAGTGTGTATCCTGTTTCCATCCTCAGTTCCTTCAGGGCTCACCATCAGGGGAGGCTGTAGTGGCTGATGGCTTGATGGTCGCAACATCCTTGATTTACTGATATGGCAGGCGGCATTCTTAGTCCACAAGATCTTGAGGTCCAGGTTATTATCAAAATCAGAAACTGAGGCCCTGACAAGGCAAAGGACTCAGTGTCTCACCATGAAGGACTGGCAGATCCAGACCTTCTTATTCAAAATCTTGTGGTCTTTCACTGAGCTTCAAGGGCTCAACCCCTGGGTGACCTCAAATTATTGCAAGAGATCCAAGAATGTATATGCATATTTGGATTTGCTCAATTTGTATATATTGAAAGGGCATCATGCTATTGTGTATGTTCACAAGGTTTGACACAAACTCATGTCTTCTATCTTGGAATAGTCGAGAACCACTACACTCGGACATGATTTATTTCAATTCAACCATCTTTCAGTGATGCGCTCTATATTCAAGACATATAATACAACACTCTGAGCATTGTAAACATGCACGTGATCATTGTTTCATGCTCTGTTGGTACTCAAAGTCTAATCTCAAGGGGTTTACATTATGGATACAATGAACTGTAATAAAGGTTGCTAAGAAGATTTAGAGAAGTGAAATAGAGCACACTCATTGGGAAAATAGAGAAGAGCTTCATGGAGGCAATGGCATCTAATTTGATCTTGAAAGATGTGGACTTGTGAACCACAAAACTATACAATATGAAGTCATAGACTACCTGAGTAAGGCATCCTTTGCCTTTGAACATCTTTATTCGATGGGATATTGCTATTTCAACTTTTTTTTTTTGAATGGGCAGGGTCCCTTCAGGAGTGAATGTGGAGGGGGCAGAAGTTCACGGACTATCAGCGCAGAAAAAGTCATCACCCAAGATAGACCGAGACCTAAGAGAGGGTAAGTATTGTTGCACTTTCACTCTTAGAAGGAGGGGAAGGGGAGGCTGGGACTTGGCCAGTTCTTACCCGGATCAGGGCAGAACCCATTTTCATTGAAAAATAAAGAACAGGACTAAACTACTCCAGTTCATAAAATTCTGCAAGCAAGTCTCAAAAACAAGAAGGTCTCAGTCGTGTATATCACCACTTTTGGTTTTCAACAAAAGCGCTACCAAATTCACTCACAGGAGTCCTATGAGCTAGGCAGGGACTATATGATCATTGCCGTCCTCAGCTGAATACCTGAGGCTTGGAGAGGTTACCTGTCTTACTTCTCTCACATTGGAGGGGAGTGCTAGAGAGCATGGAATAGACTGTGTATCGGGGGAACTTGAAGAGACAGGTCACATGGGATATTAGTTAACTTAAGATCCTTGAGGCACATATCTGATCAAGGCTTTGAGAAATCAGTAGAATTTAGATTAGATTGACAGAAGTGTGGAGGGAGCCATTCAAGTGGATGAAACAAAGGACACAAAAGGCTCAGAGATGGAGACAGCAGGATATTAGATGCCTGTTTACATAACCTCAGAATGACTGGAGCCACAGGTAGAGTGTTGCCAAACGTAGGTTTTAAATAGAGCCAAACATTGTTGTAATCATAACTTATTAGCAAGTGTAGTACTAACAACAGTAGTAATCCTTAAAATTATTATTACTTCTATATGTTTTACAATTTTCCCAGCATATTTATACACAGTTCATTTTAATACTGGCAGCATCTCCTGTGAGACAAGTGTCCCCCACTTCACAGGTAAGAAAACTGAGGCTCACAGAGATGTAGTGACCTACCCAAAGCCTCAGAGCTTGTAATAGGTTAAGCAGGCTTTTGAATCCAAATCCCATTTTCTGTTCTTCACCTGATGATGGAACATAGAAGTGTCTAGATATCTGAAATGTATCCCCTATTGATTAAATAATTGCAAGATAAGAAGACGTTTTTCAAAAACCTGCATTGAGAATAAGTACAGTCCCCCTTTCCCCAACAGGAGAGATGTCAGCACATTCCTCTAGTTGATTTGAAAACTTCTGGCTGTCTGCAGCTCTCACATTTCCCAGCCCTTTCCTTCCTCAGCTTCCAAGTCAGTTTGAGGCAGTAAACAGGATAATATGCTCATCTAATCTGACCTGGACCTCAGTTTGTAGTCACCAAGCCCAAGCTATTTTACGAGTGCCAGAGAGCTTCATGGTCAGCCAGAGTTCACGTTGCTTTTCAAGCTGAGAAATCACCCAGGAAGTACATGCCAGTAAGCTGCACTTTGCTGTAAACGTTTGGGAAGCCCCAGGACAGTTGCCAAATTTCAAAGCATTTTTTTCCTGGCTACCAGGGGATCTGATGTCCAGCAACTGACTAAGAAGGCTAATGGGAAGAGTAGAACAGAAAACTACACAAGATGGAGAAAGGTCATGATTGACTGGGTGGCCAAACTCTATCATTTCTGCCATTGAATGGGCTAATGAATCATAGGATGTTCCCTGGGAACCTACTGGAAAGCCTTCTGTGCAGTCACTAGAGATCAAAATATGGTCTAAATAAAGAACAGTGGTAGACAAGAGGCAAAGTTCCCAATGAGAAAACACTTTCAACATCTTAGTTTGACTGAAAGCAGATATCAGGGAGGCAAGAAAGGATGCGTGCTTCCAGATAGAATATATTTCAGCTTTTCTCATTTTCCACAAAGAGATTGTCATCTACTCTGGTTACCTAACAGTATTTAGTAGTATTCATACTGGATGTCTCCCGAGCATTAAGATGAGAGTGACTCAGGGCTACTGCACCCCAGAGCGACTCCAGCCCTTGGAATATGCATGTCATCCTATTAAAAACATCTGTCACTTATCCATTCTTCTTTCAACCACCAGTTTTCCAAAAGCCCTGCTCGAGAATAATCCCAGAGTCAGCGGGGGTAGAGTAGAAATAACTTTGAACTTGGAGTCAGGAAGCCTATCTTAGTCTGATGTTCTCCGGAGTGATGGGTAACTAGAGACTCACTCTCTCTGACCCTTGTGGTCCTTTACCTGTAACAGAAGGATAGCAACTCTTTGGAGAGGACGACTATGAAAGTCTTTTGTAAACTGTAAAGGGCAGTGCTCATATAAGGGCTTGTTAGCACACTCCCGTCGTAACTTATATGACCTTGTCGTATTTATGGTAAAATATATCTTCTTGCCATGAGCCATAGGCAGTGAACACAAAAGAGCATTTTCCTGTAAGATTCCTCTTTATTGCAAATGGAGAGTCAGAGCCAGGCACATACTTTATGAATGAGAGAAGAATTAAGTCGTTTAACTAAATCTCCTTAGGCTGTGGTTAAGAGTTGGCTGAAGCTGTCAAATCAGATCCCAGGAACCACAACTTATTGGACTACATTTTTATTTTTATTTTAATGTTTTTCTCTGTCTGTTGTGCTACTAGTCATTTATAGGCTGGTAGACTTGCATTTTTGAATGGCAGGATTTATTTTTCCTTCTACATTTTTGTTTTCCTTTTGGTTAGTGGGTAGGTAGTTGCCTGTTTTTTGTTAAATGGATGTGTGGGAAACCTCTGTATGAAACTCTGTGCTTAGTGGTGGTTGTGCGAGCTGCATGAAAGGCAGATGTCTCTACAGATTCTGCCCAAACCTGTTAGAATTTAGGTATTTTAGACTCTGTGTTGAACTCTGTCCCTTCACCTGATCTTTGTATATTGCTTATGCCATGGTTGGGGAAATTGTCAATATCCCAGTAGCTCTCTTTTAAATATAATCCATTATGCCATATGCTTATTAAGATGTCTGATTCGAACTTAACACAATATACCAGGCACATTTTAACAATTCAAAAATGATCATCATAATAATGGAAAATACTTATACAGAGCTTAAGCATGGTAGGCATTTTTCTGAATGTTCTAAAATAACTTTTGAAGTCATGTTTTGAAAATAAACTAATATATTTAAAGTGATACACTCTCAATATAGAAAATGAGAAAAACATGGCAAAGTACAAACCAACCTAGTCCACTAAACCCTTGATCTGTCTTCCATTTCTTTTCGAATTTTATACTAGAAAATTCTTTCCAGTGAACGTGCAAGTGTCTTGTCTTTCTTGTTGAAGGAACGTCTCTCTCTGTGTTTCTGAATGGAAATGGAATATGCCATTCACTTTGGAATATTTGAGGGACGGTCTCAATGTAAACTATATAGATTAGAGCAGCCTTTCCCAGACAAACTGTTTTTTGTTAAGAGGTCCATTCCACGCTGTGAAAAAATTTAGCACAAAGGTAGCAGCTTACAATAACATACACTTACTATCTCACAGTTTCTGTGGGTCAGGACTATGGGGGTAGCTTAGCTGGGTCTGTTGCTTCAGGGTCTGTCACAAGGCTCCATCAGGTGATGATCAGGGCTGACGTCTCTTCTAAAGCTGGGAAACTATCTTCTTCCAAGCTCAGATGACAGAATTCGATTCCTGAAAGCTGTTCTCAGTTTCTTGTTGACTGTTGGCTGGAGGATGCCCTCAATTCCTTGCCGTGTGAGCCTGTCCAATACAGCCACTTGTTTCATCAGACGCAACAGACTGAGTCAACCAGCAACATAGAAGTTGCAATGTTATGTAACCAATCAAAGACGTGATATCCCATCACCTTTGCCATATTCTATTAGTTAGAGGCAAGCTGCAGGCCCCACCCACACTTGAGGGAAGCAAAGTACACAAACCTATGAGTACCAGGAGGCTGTGACCATTAGGGGCCAACCTAGAGTCTCTCTGCCATAGGAAGGAAGGAGGGAGGAAGGAGGGAGGATGGGAGGGTGGGAGGGAGGGAGGGAGGGAGGGAAGGAGGAAAGAAAGGGAAGAGGGGAAGGAAGGAATGAGGGAAGGAGAGAGGAAACAGGGAGGGAGGAAGGGAGGGAGGAAAGAGGGAAGGAAGAAAGGGTGGGTATTGTGTTAATTTAAGGGTGAGAACGGCTGCATATTATATTGATATTTAGAAGATTCATAATGCCTGTTCACATATTAAAAGTTCCAAGAAGTCCTCTTAAATTTTGTTTACTCCAGTACTTCCCAAACATATTTGATCTATAAACTCTTTTTTCATTAAAAACTTTTCTGTAGAACACAGTTTGAAAAACATTGAATTGTAGGAGATATATAGATATAGATAGATATAGATATTTATGTATGTATTTTCTGTTCATCCAAAAGATTGATACTAAAACTGGGAGCTTGTGGATATATTCCTGGAATCCAAGAAATTCTGTATTTATAAATGTTGATGGCCATTTAAAAAATTAAGAGGAAAAAAAAATAATAAGAGGGGCAACTAGTGGGTCATCTGAATAACCCCTTATAGCCAAGGACTGCCATGAGATTTCATACCTCAGTGGGTATGGATGCAGTTACCATCACATTGGCATCGGTTAATAACACTTCAATGATCAAAGACTAATAAGAATTGAAGTAGGACAAACTTATGAATAATGTATTAAGACCAGATGAAGGCTAAAATTCATTATGGTCCACTAAGATTCCACAGTAGTTTCAACAGAGAAAACTTGTAGTAGAATGAGTCATCACACACCAAAAGCACTCTGAGGAATGCTGGCTCAGAAGAACCAGGGCCAGATCACTCATTAGAATATTCATGTGGAACATTGCTTTTTAGTTTCCACAAAATAACATTAACCATTTTATTAATATTGTTAATTTGAATTTAGCTGGCTTTATGGTCTTGCTTTTATTTAATCTTGTAAATTGGTTTGGGTATGATAGTTGTATGAAGCTATAAAAATAAATACTGTACCTACAGTTTTATGATTGCAAACATGGAAGTAAAACTGCAGTACAAATAATTCACTGAAGCTTCTTAGGGAACTTTTGCTTTAACAGATAACCATACATTACTCAAGATTGAGAAACACTGTCCCATTATTTTAATATTCCATTAATCATGGGCTGTACTAACTCTTTTATCCCAACTGGATTAATAACATTCAGTGCCATTCCCTAGTTTGACTAATCTGTTTTAAAGCCAAAGAGTAGACATCAATTTCAGTTGTCTCTTTCTCCTTCAATGATGTGTTTTAGACCAGTGTGCTGGTGACCATTGCCCAACTGGGGGGGGGGATGGGAGGAGCCTTCCTCACCCCCGTGCCCTCCATGGTAAGCTGCCCTTGTTGACAGGCATCAGGTCCCTTAGGAGGAATATTATAAAGAGGAGAAAAACAAGTTTTACTTTTCTATTCAGTTTTCTGCTTCAAGGCGTTTGTACTTTGCTACATTGGAAGATTTCCTCACCATCAGAGGCTCTGTCCGTCAGTCCTATTCTCTATGAGGAAAGAACCATGTCAGGTCTAGATTTTGTAATTTCGCCACCAAAACATAGCCCCAAAGCATCATGCTTTGAAGAGCCAATATGGAGCTAATTTTAGAAAGTTGTAAGCTCTGTCCAGTGAGGGAGAAGGTGCCTACAGGAAACTCTCCTGCGGGGGAGAGAGCAGAGAAAAAGAGATATTCCAAAAGGCAGACCATCCAGAGTCAGTAGGTGGTGGAAAGAAGACTGGAAAGGAGTCAGGTGACTTGGTTATGACTGTCCTGATGGGCATTTATTCCCTGAGTTACTTGGTGAAGGTTTTGCTCTAGATACCGGTGGAACTGAGGACACAAACATGTCATCAAATAATTTATTTCTCTCTTTGTTTCTTTCTTTTTTTTCAACTGTTTGGTTGTCCTGCTATCTCTTTAAAAAGTCTTTACCTACCCTGAGGTCATGTCATCCAGTAATTGCATGAGATGTTGTGGCAGAGGTAGGAACCCAGGGCTGTGGAGAAGGGAGGGGCCCACTGCTGAGAAAATTCTGGAAAGTCTTCAGCGAGAAGAATCCTATGAGATGCCCAGTCTGTTTTGCAGGATCATCCCTGGAATCAAGTGGAAAAAAAAATAGCTTATCAATCCCCAAATCCTATACAAATGTAATATATTAATTACAACGTCATGGGGAAACCTGGTAGCCAGACATCTGCTTTTTTCTTGAATCCATATTGCATTTCTCAGGCTTCCAGATTTGTAATTTGTCTTTGCGTTCCTAAATATTCGTGAGGAAACTGACTCCTGAACTGCACATTGAAAGCTGTTGGGTGTTCTGTGCTTCCCGCCTTGGGGACAGAGGTAACAAGGACAACCATGTGTTTTGTCCCTGCAGGTGGACCTCTGCTCTATGAGAACATCACGTTCGTCTACAACTCCGAGCAGCTGAACGGGACTCAGCGCGTCCTCCTGGATAACGTCCTGTCAGAAGAACAGTGCCGGGAGCTGCACAGCGTGGCTAGTGTGAGGACCGGCAGCCCTGCTGTGCTGATCTGGCCTGAGCATGAAAGAGCTTTGGTCCTGGACTTACTTGGAGCCAGGAAACCAGGCCTGAAACGTTACTTTCTTTAGGAGAAGGACATTGATTGTGGAAGCACTTTCATAGCCTTTGGTTTGGGGTGATTGTAGTTTTGTCCAGCTCTGGACATAGCTCTTGGGTCTGGAAGAGCTAGAGGCTTCATTCCTAGGACAACTGTATCCAGCATGTGCCCTGCCTATCATATAAAGTCACTGGGAAAAGTCTCTTTATTTTTATCAATAATTAATCAATATATTAATTATTTATGTTCTACCTATTTATACAGAAAGCAGTGGCACCACCTTATAATGAAAATGCGGGGTGAAAGTTAAATAAAGATGCCTCTTTTGGTTGGAAGAATTAATGATACCGGAATCCTAGAATAAAATGGAGACGGTTCTGAGTATTGACTTTGGTTCTCAGCTTTCTGGCAGTCAAGGCAGAAAGGGAGATGGGATGAATTCGTTATCCTCATTAATAAAGCACCTTGTATTTTGCTTCTAGGGAATCATGCTTGTTGGTGATGGATACAGAGGAAAAACTTCACCCCATACACCCAATGAAAAGTTTGAAGGTGCAACCGTCCTGAGAGCACTCAAAGTAAAACTTAACTTCTTTTGGATTTGAATTCCTAAGGGTCAACCCAGGATCTTCTGGGAATGGCAGATACAGGGAAGAGAAGGGTTTAAGATATAGACCTATCAGCTCATTGAAGGGAGCAAGTATGAAATGGCACCTTCATTGTTTTTAATCACTCCTTCATTCCTCCATTCGGTCATCAGTTGATCAAACTCTATTTCCTAGATTGGCATCTGACAAATAATACACAACCCCCTTGTCCTCAAGTAGCTCAAGGTCCAATGGTGAAAACGTACTCAAAAAAGTTATCAGTCTGTACTGCGAGAGGTGTTTTTTTAGAAGAGTGAGGAAAGTGTTCTGAGAGGAGAGGAGAGGGATAATTAGCTCTCAACTTTCCCTCATTTTCCTAAACCAAATCCGCAAGTCTGTAGTAGTATTCCCACGAGCCAACAGAGAGCTGAGCATCCTATATTGGCTTAATAAAACCTAGCATCTGTTTTCCTCCAGCCTTCCAATCAACCCAGTGGTTTCTAATATTCTTCTTTTTCTTCAGTTTGGTTATGAAGGCCGAGTCTCCCTGAAGAGTGCCCGTCTGTTTTATGACATCAGCGAGAAGGCTCGAAAGATTGTCGAATCCTATTTCATGCTGAACTCAACCCTGTATTTTTCCTATACACACATGGTCTGCCGCACAGCCCTGTCTGGTGAGATTCCAGAATCTGAACATGTTCCCTTTTACCCACAGTGAAATGAGAAAGAAAACAATGCAGAACAAAGCTCTATGAACATGTCAGACTAACGGTTCAGAAGAGTTCTACATTTCTAAAACAAAAGAAGCTTACTCACTCTGATTTTTCCCTTCCCTCTTTTTCTACTTTGCTGGTTCCCTAAAGTATTAGAAGACCATCACGCTGCCTATTTTCCCTTTCAAATCCATTTCTTCTGCTTGCTACAATCACACAGAAAAATCCCTTTCTGCTCTAGGTTTCACTTTTCAGGGTTCAAGAACCTGGAAATTACAGTCACCATTATGCCCACCAGCATTGAGGGGAAGCATAGAAGATAAAAAGGATTGTTGAAAGAAATGTTTTCAAAAGGCAGAGACCTCCTCACTCCCTGGCGTCACTATTTTTTTCTCTACATCTTCTCTTCTATACCCTCCTGAGGAGGAGGGGGGGAGAGAATATCACAGAAGTAGACTTTTCCACTTGTGAACCTTCAGCTGCATCAAATCTTTTCTTTTCTTAATTTTTTTTTTTTTTTTTTGTGGTACGCGGGCCTCTCACTGCCGTGGCCTCCCCCGTTGCGGAGCACAGGCTCCAGACGCTCAGGCCCAGCGGCCGTGGGTCACGGGCCCAGCCGCTCCGCGGCATGTGGGATTTTCCCGGACCGGGGCACGAACCCGCGTCCCCTGCATCGGCAGGTGGACTCTCAACCACTGCACCACCAGGGAAGCCCAAATCTTTTCTTTTTGACGTTTGCATTTTATCCTCATCCTTTGACTGCCCCACACAAAGTACAGCCCATGAAATGCATGGAATTTCTGCATGTATATTTATATCGGAGAACTTTTATAGCTGAAGAGACAGGTGTGACTTGCCTACAGTTTTTTACATCAAGTTCATATCGAAGCAGGACCAGAGTCTCTTCACGGTGCTTGCCCAGCGTTCTTTAGCCTGCTCTGAGTTCTGATCCTCAAATTTGCAAGGGGCACCAGCCACAGGAGAAGACAGATTGCCAGCTTTGCTCTTGGAGGTTACGGCATTCAATTTCTCATGCTTCCCTGTTCCCTTTTCTGGCAGGTCAACAGGATAGAAGAAATGACCTGAGTCATCCCATCCATGCTGACAACTGCCTGTTGGATCCAGAGGCCAATGAATGCTGGAAGGAGCCTCCTGCTTACACATTCCGGGACTACAGGTACCGCCAGCATCTGATTCAGAACCAAGCTTTTGCCCAACAGTTATCAAAACCCCATGGAAACTAGAAAGCTGATCTGTTTTGCTTGTCATCACATTCATCTCAATGAAGCAGAAATGCTCAAATAATCTTCTGAAGCGGCTGCCACAACTGAGAAGTGATTTCAGCATATCATATTTTTATCTTAAAAATCCCTGCACGATTTGTTGCATCTTATTCCACAGAATGCCCATTTTGTTTTAGTATAAAAAGTAAAGTTTATGTTTTTTTTTCTCACTTGGCTTTTATTTAAACATATTCCTTGTGGTATATGTATTAATATCTCAGTCTGAGAACACAGGGTGTGCATCTCAGCAGGCATAAGGGATCACAGCACATCATTTATCTATGTCTGCATTTTGTAAGTAAGAAACTGAAAACTCAGGACAAAAAAGTTTTGTCTTATTGAATGATATTTTACTGTGTAAAGAGTCAGTTGTAGTCATCATGTATATAACGTGTTAATTATTACTACACTGTGCTCTATACAAACATGTTTATTGAGCGCCCCCTATCTGCAAGACTTGGATACACCCCTTAGATCTCTCCAGCTACTTACGGAAAAAATACATCCTTTTGACTTACTAGTATAAAAGGAAAGAACAGAGTTTTAGATTCTGTGGGCGAGATCAAAGGGCTAGATTAAACCTAGCTAGATTTTATTTGGAGGAGGTGAAATGATAGATGAAGTTTGACGTATAATTAAAACTTTAACCTGAGTGGAATAAATAAATACTTCAGGGTTATGACCCTACATCTGATCTTACTCTTGAAGGTTAGGAGGCTCAATCATTTTAACGTTTAGTTCAGAGGAAACTTACTAATCAGGCTGGTCAGTTCATGCCCAGTCTGCAGTATTCTGCGGTGATGTTGTGTAGTCATATAAGAGTACAAATTGCTTCCCTTTCTTCTTACAGTGCTCTCCTATATATGAATGATGACTTTGAAGGAGGCGAATTCATATTCACTGAGATGGATGCCAAAACTGTGACCGTAAGCAAGCCTATTCTTGCAAATTTATCCAGCATTTTTAGTCTCGATTTTGCCATTTTCCAAAGACTGCTGGATTTCAAATATTTCTGAGCTTGAGAATTCATGAGGTGGAGAGAGATCCAGTAAATGTATACATTATAAAATGTTAGAAATGGAATCATCAATAAAAATCTTCTTTTCCTTTTTACAGATGGGTAATTTAAAGAATATATATTAAGGATCATATAGTTAGTTTGTGTTAGACTTAGAACCTAGGTCTTCTGATTCTTTGCCAAGTAATCTGATGGGAACCTAAAAACACCTATTCTTAAATCACCCACGACTATGACAAGTCAAATGACTCTACAGAATGGCTTTCAGGTACCCTGGTGCTCTGTATGTTAGGTGAGCATTGGCTTCCATACCCCTCATTATCCAAATTATGATATGCGTGTGTATATATATATGTATACATATATATACATATATATATATATATAAAATTCTGATAGTAAGTAAACCTATACTTGAAAATTGATATATACACATTCACACAGACACACGTGTTATATATTCATACTTTGGATGAGATTCTAAACACACCTTCGTAGATCAAAAATCAAAAGTTAAACTCAACCACCATCTTCCTAAGCAAACTAATGCCTTTGGACAACCAGCCTACTGAACACATATAAACTGTATAGCCAGAATCTTCGGTTTTTAAGCCGAACAGCATATGCCATGGTAGAAAAAAGAGGTTTTCCGATTGAGGAGATAATTGAATTATAAGTAGATTATGAGATATCTCTTTCCTCTATACAAAATCAAAATAGTTGAGACATGTATGTGATAGATTTCAAGGATTTTGCATTATGTAAGCTATTTCCACAACTTTTTTCTGCGTTTTATTTCTTTCCCCTCTTATTTTGTACCCTTTTCTTGGTCTCATTCATGGCATACTACCAGGGTGTAAGCAAATGATATAAAAACGATGTATTACTGGACTTAAAGGGAAAACCTATGGGAATTCTGGTTAAAATTGTCCAGAAACATTGATCTAATTAAGAACAATATTTCATACACTTTAATGTACTGTATATTTAAAAGGTCATGATGCCTCACACTCTTTTTTGTGAAAAGCTTAAATATTATCATGGGAGTATTTTGATGCTTCATGATTTGGGAAATTAAATCAAGACTGATGATCCAGGCTCAGTTTAAATGCCAATACAAAAATATCAACTTTTGATAAGCCTCTGTGCAGAAAGCATTTGATTTCTGAGCTCTGCTAACAGGTTCGAAACTGCTTGAATCTCACACAATTGGAAAGAAAATCAGGCAGGTGGTTGAAAAGATTTCTTTGCTTCTGCGCCATCTAGTGGCCATATTTGGAAATGTTCAATGTTTGAAAATAAGTAAGGCGGGAATATTATTGATATGTATGAATCATAAATGAATCATTAATTATGTGTGAATTCACCAATTTTTGAATTAAAATTAACTGTAATTCTGCTTTTTAAAGATGTGAAAGCAGATGCTACTCCTCTTTAAAAGATTTATACTTTTAAGATAAAGATGCAGCTATTTTTAAAAGTACTGAATCTAACCACCACCATCCCCTAAAAAAGTAAAACTAATTTAAACAATGTTTTAATGAAAAAGCTCCAAGTTGAGAGATCTATTTTCAAAAATTAGTTCTACTTCAGATTAATGCATATGGTAGAGTTTTGGGAGCATGTTGTAGATAATTAAAATTCTTAGTTAACCAGTGCCAATAACAAAGAGAAATGGACAGTTTTCCTTTTCAGTTTTCCCTCCCTTGATTCTGGAAGGAAAATTGGAGCAGGGAAATGCCCCAGCTTTGTGCTATGCAAGGAAGAATAGTCTCCTAAGTTCTTTACTTTGGAAAAATCTGGAAATTGTATAATTACTGAATGGTGGCTGAAGATTTACATTTATTCAAGGCAAGTACAGCACAAAGCCTTCTCTGACTTTAATCATCAGTTAGATGCAAATCAAAAGGAATTTTCTTTCATCATACTTGGAAGAGCCATGGATTATTTTCGACAGCAGCATATTTGTGAAACTTGGGTATTTCGTTATTTTGGTTTCTCTGTGCAAGTTTGAAAAAGATAAAATCCAATGAGTTCCATTTGCTTCATGAAAAACTAAACTCAGTGGGGCTGTGTTCCAAACGTATGTTTACAATCATTTAAACTTCAGAATACATTTTCCCTTAGAAGCAATGTCATTAGTGGAGCTTGTTTATTCCTCCGCATACCTGATCTATGAGAGGTGATGCTCTCCATTTGATAAGATTAGTCCTTTGTGACTCCACGTACCTGCAACCAATCCCAACTGCTTCAGGCAATGGATAGCTTCTTTTCCCAAAGTTCTTCATTTGTAAACATATTTTCAATTCTTCCATCAGAGACAAAGCATTAAATTGTTCCCACAGCCTCTCTTTAGTAGTGTAAGATGTTGATGCCAAGACTCTAATCACGTAGAAGCAATGGCAAGCACGTGTGGATAAGTAAGCCCTTGACCAGCACCAGGGAATGAGCAGCTCAGAAAAATTGAAATTAGATCCTAAAACCATGCGTATAGGAAGGCTTTCCTGTCCTGCTTCATATGTCTTCTAGTATTAGTTAACTTGCTGTTTCTGTGTGAAAATGCACAACAAATTCCTGCTCCAGAAACACAAAATCGGATTGATGCTGGAGGCACCAGTAACTAGGAACCTAGATTCACATCAGAAAGTCACTTTGATGAAGCTGCTTGAGAAAAGCAACTCTCTCTAGGAAAGACAAATCAACTCCTCAATTATCGTGAACAGAAGAGTAACCCAGAAAGTGACTGCTTTTCTCTGCTCTTCCTTTTAACACACACACACACACACACACACACCCCGCACACACACACACACACACACACACACACACACACACACCCCTCAGGATCTTTGACTACTCCGCTTACCTTTGACCTTCCACAAGTTCGTCACACAGTCTGGGAGTACCTACGTTAAGTAGCGTCCAAGGACTTCAGGAAACCTTCCAAATATTCCTCCTGAAGCTGGCAGTGGAAAAACTTAGCCCATCCCATTTTATGGCGAAGGGGACCAAAGGTTCTTCTAATGGTCATGTATCAACTCAAGTCAATTCAGAAAATAGCTAGTTAGAACTGGTCCATCTTATCAAATAGTACAACGATTGGTGCCACTTTCTTGCTTTTATTTCTAAGCTGTACTATGGAATAAGTCAGGTTTCTGTGTTTCCCAAGAAAGAAAAATGAACTCTGCTTAGAGCAGACACTTTATTCACGGAAGCAAGGCCCCTAATATTCCATTGCTTCAGCTTACTCAGTTTGGAGAGCCTGCTTGTTTGATCTAATGCTCTGGCTCAGGGCCCCCAGCAGTGCCTCTTTCCCTTCTACCCTGTCCTACCTAATCAGTAGTGGACAGCTCCATCTGAGCCAAGCTTGGAAGGACTGTGCCCATCATTCCAGAGCCCTGGAGGCCATGGAATTGGTCACCTGAAGGGGTGGTGTGTTCTGATCCCTGGAGGTATGAAAACATCGGCTAAGGACTACTGGGCAGGAATATTGTAACAGGAATTAAAGTATCACATGGGATTAGACTTGACTTTTAAAAAATTTTGTATTATGAGAAGTTCACAAACCATAAATGCACAATAAGGAATTAGAAAGGGTGCCTCCAAGGAACCACTGCCTAGGTCAATTATAAGAATTTGCCAGCACTCTACATGTCCCCTTGATTTGCTTCTGTCATTCCACAAATATTAAATGTACATCTACTTAGGCCAGATGTTGTGCTAGTGCTAAAATTAGAGACGTGAATTAAAAGAGAGAGCCTTTGCCTTCATGGAGTTTACCAGCCACCAACATAGCATGTATTGAGCGATTGCCATTTGCCATGGACTGTGCCAACCGTTTTACCTGATAACTTTATTTTCTGAATTAGGTATTGTTTTGACCTTATCTTTGTTTTACAGATGAGGAAATTGAAGCAACTTTCAACTCCAGGATTCCATTAGAAGGATAGAGAAGGGGGATTGTAGAAATGGTAACAGTATAGGAATTGAGAGTCAAACTTTCACTCTCTTTCTCAGGCCTCTATAAAACCAAAGTGTGGGCGTATGATCAGCTTCTCATCTGGAGGAGAGAACCCGCATGGGGTGAAGGCAGTCACCAAGGGCCAGAGGTGTGCTGTGGCTCTGTGGTTTACCTTGGACCCACTCTACAGAGAATTGGTGAGTTTCTGACCCACCCAGAAAGCCACTGAGACATCCTATAGACCTGCTTCATGAACTGATTTATCGGAAAAGCCCGTTTGATCCATAACCCTTCAGGGATCTTAGAGATCGTGGGGGAAAAACCAAACCAAAACCAAACCAAAACAAAACCTTTTACAGAATCCTTTCTGTCTGGTTTCCAACACTGGCTCTGTTTTCTAAGCAAGAACAAATTTTGTTAATCAGATCCGTAACCTAGCAATTACGCATTTGATGTTTGTAGGATGAGTTTGAGGAAAAGAAGGGCTATGAATGCAGTTCTTAATCAGATGAGTTCTTAGAAGTGAAGCTTTGCAGAAATAGACATCACAGCCATATTTGGCAGTCTCTAATTAGTCTTGAGTTTATTGATAAATTGTCGCATCAAGAGAGAGGAATCATTTTTTACTGGTCACTGGGAAGACTGATCTGTTTTCTCAACAAATCCTTTAAAAGTTCACTGAATAATTTATGAAACATATGTAGAAGAGGGTGAGGACACCTGAAAGTTTATCATTTACTACTATTAAATTAAATATTAAAATGTTGTTATTATTCTATTGGAAGCAGCTAAGGATACTTAGCCCGGGTAATAGACCGTGATCACATCCTTCTGGATGCTGTGGGCAGAGATTATGGTGTCTGTCTGTGAGGCTGCAGAGGGATGAATTAAGACCTCTGGATACAAGCCCCTGGGAGGAAAATCTAGGCTCAACATAAGGAATAACTTTCTAATTGTCAGCACTATTTGGTGGACTCGTCTTCTTTGGAAGTATTGAGTTTCTTGTCACTGGACGGCTCCAGTCAAAGCCTCAGCAACTGCTTGGCATGGAACGCTGAACCTGAACCTGAACCTGAAACTTCATGGCAAGGGCTAAACCGGATGACTTCAAAGTCTCCTCCAGCCTTGAGTCTTAATGAAGCTATGAAATTCTAGTGTTGAAAATGGCATTCTAATCAAATTTCCTCTTTACATCCCTAAATTGAATCCAATTTCATCAGAAACTTTAAAATGAGTTTCTCTTTCTCATATACTTTTTGCCATCAAACCTGACTCCGTTTTTAAGCCATATCCCCTAAGCATTCTTTCATATACTTCACAAATGTTTATGGAAGATCTACTCTGTGCCTGGAAAACTCACTAGGTAGGCCCTGGGGGTACACAGTTGAACAAAGCATAGCTTTGGCCACGAGGAGCTTGGAAAGGCTGAAAAGCAAATGACGGGGAGAAAACAGCAGTCTGCATTTACAGGGGGATAGCAAGGAAGACTTACGTATATAAGCGCAATCCTAAGAGGGCGGAGAATGATAGCCAGCCACAGAAAGAGATAAGAATGGTCCTGACAGAGGGAGCAGAGCAGGGAGAGATCTGAAAACTTCACTTCCTTCACCTGTAATTCCTCTCTCCTCCTGTGTCTCCACATCCACAGTGTCAGCGTTCCTCCACATTACTCCTTCTGGACTAAGGAAGCTAGGTACCTGAGTACGCAGTGCAGCTATCACATTGTTGAAAAATTGCCTCGCCCTTTTTTCTCTTTAGTGTTTAATTCAATAAACATTTAACCTGTTTTATTATTCATTACCTCAGCCCTCTCTCCCAAGATATTTTTTATATCTAAATAAGCTAACACAAAGTTCTCTTTGAGCCTTGCTAACCTGGCAAGTACAGAGTTAAGAAAGTTCTTCAATCTCCAGGCTGTGGCGACATCTAGTGGTCACAGACGAAAATGACCAGAGCCTCTGAGGCAACTGCTAGAAAATTTTGCCTATGACGTGACTCCCAGACTTTGGGAATCAACTGGCGATCTTTACAAACTATTGACATTTTGTCTACCACCCTTGGAAATTCTGGGTTAATTGATTTGGGCTGTAACCTGAGTGTCGGAAGTTTTAAAAGCTCTCCAGGTGATTTCAATGTGCAAAAAAATCTTCAGAGTCCCTGAGTTAGGCGTCTGCTCTCAGGTTGCATCCCTGGGCAAAGAAAGCCTGCCTATCAATACATCGTGAGAACTGGCAGACTTCCATGCTCATAGATTAGTTAAAAGGCACTGAATTCTCAAGGAGTATTTAGCAACATACACCGGTAAGGATGCCCAATATTAGAAGCTTCAGTTGTTTGTATAGAGACTTGCAGCTCTTAAACATCTTTCCTTTCAGGACGTACATGACAACAGTCTCCTGTGCATTCAGATTGCAACATTTTGTATCTACATCAGTTTGCTAATCAGCAAGATGTTCTCCCCATATTCATAAAAGTAATAGCCATTTTATTTGGACATCAAGACAGTTTAGTTTTCTGTTATTCAGTATATTTGGTCCTTGTAGGTGCCTTTTGGTCAACATTATGCTCAATTACAAGCTCTTGAATACAAGAGGCTTTGTTTCCAAGTCATAAAATGTTCTTTATATAACTTACTATGCTGGATATTGTGCTAGGGACTACCTATAGGAGATACAAACTAGATAAGACATAACTTTTATTTTCAGGGAGCTTAAAGTCAAAGTGAAGAGATAATACAGGGGCCTGAGTAATAAAAGCATAGCAAAGTTCAGTAGGAATTATTAGAGGCAAAAATGCATGGTGGGGACTTCCCTCATGGTCCAGTGGTTAAGAATCCGTCCTGCAATGCAGGGGACACTGGTTCAATCCCTGGCTGGGGAACTAAGATCTCACATGCTGCGGCCCATACGCCACAACTACGGAGCACACGGGTTACAACTAGAGAGCCTGCATGCCACAACTAGAGAAGCCCATGTGCCGCAATGAAGAGCCGGCACACTGCAACGAAAGATCCCACATGCAGCAACTAAGACGAGACACAGCTAAAAATAAAATTAATTAATTAAAAAAATGCATGGTGTTTAGGGGATAGAAAGAGGAAACCAGGAAAGGCTTCATTGAGGGGATGGCATTTGACATGAGCCTTAAAAGATGAGCATGATTTCCTTAGGGAGAGATATTTTAGACAGGGACAGCCCTTCATCCACTTCTGTATTTATTCATCAACTATAATACTCCCTTGCCAAATGTGTTGAGCTTTTCTGGACACAGGAAAAACAACAGTGACCAAACATGACAAGACTCCCTGCTTTCATGGAGCTTACCTTCTAGTGAAAAAAGACAACAAATAAGTAAAAGAATAAATAATTGAGGGATTTTCAGATAGTGAGAAATGATGTGCGGGAAAGAGAACAAGGCAACTGATCTGAGAGTAAAAAGAGCCGGGGGTGAAGTGTGAGGGGCCTCCAGACAAGTGACAAGAAGAAGCTAACCGTGGTAAAGGTCTTCAGAGGAGTATTCCAGGGGGAGAAGAGGTTGTAAAGGCCCAGAGACAAGAAGGAGCACAGAACAGTCAAGAAGCAAAGAAATCCAGGGTGGCCAGAACAGGGCATGCAAGGCGGAGAGCGGGCTGAAAAGAGGGCACAGAGGAGGCGGCGATCGGATGGACAAGCTGCTCAAGAAATATGAATTCTACTCTAACTGTACAGGGGACGCCATATTCCTTCCTCACCTCCCCCAGCCCCAGGAGTTACAGGAGAGGAAAGATTACTGTAGCTAACGCGTCGTAGACTAGAGTCACGATAAAGACGGTGAAAGGATGTGGGCGATTGGAGATGCCATTTGGAGGTAGACCAGCTGGGCCTGTTGAAGGATTGGTGTGGGGATAAGAGAAAGCATAGGATACAGTGGAAGCATCCTTTAAATCCTAGGGGCACTTAACCTGGACTAGGATGAGGAAGTCCTTCTCAGAGTGCTGTGTTCAGAGACCTTGTGGTAAGTCAGGAAGGTGGAATGTAAGGTGAGGCGAGAGGGGAAGACAAGGTGAGCTGAAGAAGAGAGAAAAGTCAGAGTCCTTATAAGCACATCAAGGAGGTGGGACCTGCAGTCTTCCCTGGTGGTGCAGTGGTTGAGAATCCGCCTGCCAATGTAGGGGACATGGATTCGAGCCCTGGTCTAGGAGGATCCCACATGCCGCGGAGCAACTGGGCCCGTGAGCCACAACTACTGAGCCTGCGCGTCTGGAGCCTGTGCTCCGCAAGAAAAGAGGCCGCGATAGTGAGAGGCCCGCGCACCGCGATGAAGAGTGGCCCCCTCTCGCCGCAACTAGAGAAAGCCCTCGCACAGAAACAAAGACCCAACACAGCAAAAATAAATAAATAAAATAATAAACTCCCACCCCCAACATCTTCTTAAAAAAAAAAAAAAAAAGGCGTCCCTGGTGGCGCAGTGGTTGAGAGTCCTCCTGCCGATACAGGGGACGTGGGTTCGAGCCCCGGTCCGGGAAGATCCCACATGCAGCGAAGCGGCTGGGCCCGTGAGCCATGGCCGCTGAGCCTGCGCGTCCAGAGCCTGTGCTCCGCAACGGGAGAGGCCACAACAGTGAGAGGCCCGCGTACCGCAAAAAAAAAAAAAAGAAGAAGATCCGACCTGGAGCGTGGAGCAATGGGAACCCACGTGAGGGTTGTGAGCAGTGAGCAGGAAAGGGTGGGGCTCGTGATTCAAGTGCAGAGAGTCCATCAGAAGCACGTGGGAGGGGGTGTGAAACAGATCCGTTTGGAAGCTGCCGCAGTAACTGAGTTAAGAGATGATGAGAGCGTAAACCCATGGTCCTCAAGCAGGAGCGATTTTGCGTCCTCTACGGCACATTTGGCAACATTTAGAGACATGTTTGGTTGTCACGACTTGGGGCCAGGCATGTGCCACTGGTTACCTGTAGTAGGCAGAAGCCAGCGATGCTGCTAGACATCCTACAATGCACAGGACAACCCACCCAACAGAGTTATCTGCTCCAAGACGTCAGCCGTCAAGGCTGAGAAACAGTGGCCTGAAGTAAGGCGACAGTATGTGCACTGCAAAAAAGAGGGGGCAGAACAGAGAGGACTGGTGACTTATCAGATCCAAGAAACCCTGGTCAGGCTTTGGGGGCAAATGGGGGAGCAGTGGTGGTCTCTACTGAGAGAAGAAATATGTGAAGAGG